CTCCTCCTCGAGCCGATCGATTCATTGGCCATGAATATTTCGTCCCGATTGTTTGTCCATCGGTTGAATCGGCGTCCATCGGCGAACGAGATTAAAAAGAAAATTTTGCGATTTCACTGCTTTTTTCTGCGAGATAAAAGGAGGTGTTATTTTATTAGCCGAGGATTTTCAACTCTTTTTTTCCTTTTTTCTTTTTTTCCCTCTCGATTTGAAAACGGAACTTAGAATTAACTATACGAATCGGGAAAATTTCGTTGGAAATTTATCTTCCTCGATAAAAAAAGAAAATAAAAAAAAATTGATGGAAATATTCGTGTTACGCGAGAATCGTACAAATTTATTAATAAATCGCGTTATATAAGAGGATATCGTTATAAGGAAAATGGTTTAAAGAAAAAAAAAAAAAAGAAAAAAAGTAATGTGTCATTTATGTCCTTTATCATCGTAACTGTATTATGACGTGATAAAATTTATTTTTAGAACCCGTTTTTTTTTCTTTTTTCTTCTTTTTTTAAGGTGTGCGATAATAAGATTGACATTTGTAAATATCAAACTGTTATAAAAACTTAATAGTTTCCTTATCGAGAGATTATTCGAGAAATATAATCCGAGTTATAGCACGAATAAAAATTCTGTCGTAAATCTATTTTACAACGCGAATATTTTCGAACATTTGTACGAGCCACGAATAGTTAAGAGGGGGTCGATTGTATTAATTTTGAAAAAACACGGAAAGAAAATGGTAAAAACGGAGGAGTTAAATGAAGGGGAACAGCTGATTCATCGTTTTCAGTAGAATCGTCCCGTTGCGGGTCAGACCGCAACACAAGAATATTTTCGTGGAAACGAGACTTTCCTCGGGAAATACCCAACGATCGGTCAACTGCGACCAATCTGTGTTTATTGGAATCTGTGAGAATATTTTCGATACGACGCGATCGAGGAAACTTTTCTCGTCGAAAATTTCATGAAATTTCTCGCCCATATATTCCTATGAAATTTTGAAAATTTTATATACGCCAATCCGTGCTCTCATCGATCTAATAAAATTATTTAATATTATAATAATTTAAATGCAATTTTAAATTGTAAATACTTTTTTTATTTATTCGAAGTTATCCGGTAAAAAATATTTGTGCAAATTTTTATTAGAATAATTTTGTTACTCTGATATTCTCGTATCGCGGAATGTAGAAAAATTAATTGTTTCGAAATCGAAAAATGTATCGACACGAAATTCTAAAAATCTAAACAAATCGCTTAAACAATAAAATTTTTATAATTTTTCAGAATTTTATAGAATTTGTATTTACAAAATTATTTCGAAGAATATTTGAATACCAATCGCATTCAATATTACACTACCCAATTTTCTTACATGTTTCCATCTCACGAAAGGCCGCAATTTCACGTCAGCGGCTGAGGATGCGTAACCACGTTCCCGCAGAAACCGCCAAGAACCTACCACCGATCCCAAAAAGAATATTCCTCAACCCCGACCAACAAAACCACCGACATCCCTCCACCACAAATACTGCTCTATTAAACTTTCTAAAAACATACTATTACGTAAGCTTCACACATTCACTAAATCAATCTTTCCATCAAATTGTCTTCGTCAAATCAATTCGAAAAAATAATAAAAGAATCGCGAAAGAACTCGAAGAAAAATTATCATTTACTACGTATTGATTCCTATTCGAATTATGGCTAGTATTATTTGTATGGGTGTTTATTTTGGAAACATCGTTATTGTTGATATTAGAGTTCGTTTCGAATCGTAAGTCTTTGTCGCGAGATAAATTTGTTCTATTGTGGAAAGTAGCATAGTTATCGAATTAAAATTTTCTTTCCGTGAAAAGAACGTGAAGAGAGAAAGAGTATAGCTATTGGTACCACGCTATGTTGTTTGTTCCATCCTTTTGACTACAGCGTGAGTCGCTAGTTCACTAAGTATATTGTACTTTCTTCTATTCTTTCCACAGAGAAAATTTTAGTTCATTTTCTTCCACTCTTTCATAAAGAATTTTTATTCAACTATATATAATATACTACTTTCTTCTATTCTTTCTACACAGAGAATTATATTAACCGTATTATTTTATTCCACTCTGCCTACGAATAGTGAAAATTTTTCTAAACAATCCTAATCCCTTCTAACAATCTCAAAAACCAATGCTGATTAAGCGTTAAATATACGCATAAATATACCGACCAACGTATAATTCGCCAACACATAATTCTCACATACATTCGCAAAACTATATCAATTTATTATTACTGTTCAAACGGACAACGCTTCACCAAAACACCACATTGTTTACGTATTCTTCAAAACCCATTTTAAACTCTACACAATCCTCAAATAAACAATCACAAACAATCACGAATTAATCACGAATTAAGAAAGCACGAAACCAAAAAACGAAACCAATTCCAAAAAAACAAACCTGATCCGTAAAAAAACGACTTGATTGACCGGCGAACACGCGGAAACGGAGGGAAGAATATCGAGCGACGCGAGCAATACCGTACGCGACCACGTACCACGCCGTACTGAGCGCAACGCCACGGTCGGAATAGTTTTGACGCGCCGCCGGCTGGCTCGCCACTGCGCATGTGCCGATATAATCCACGCTTCTACGCGCAACCAACACACGTGGAACGTCGAGTGAACGTACGCGGGCTCGAGGGAGGGGAGTTTGGATGGCCCAAGGGTGTTTTGACTCGCGAGCACACCGTTTCGTCCGCTCGACCTCGCTTCCTTCCACGGAGGGTGTCTGATCCGTCGAGGGGGGTGATCGATGAACAAGTGGCGAGG